TTTTTCCTTCAATGCGCTTACTTGAGTGGAAGTTCCCTTGAGGCTAATCGGGTTGAGTTCTGCATAAACATGTGAAGGATTGCACCGTAAGCCATTATAATATTAGCAGTGCCCAGTTCCCTTACAGTTATAACAGTACAAAAATTGTACAGTTTGCTTGCAACTGTACATCCCAATTGTATCAAAGCAGTAGGCCTCTAGAAATTCATGCTACAGATTTTTGCAATGATGAAACGAACGACAAAAGAATGCAATGAATTGGGTAAGAACCAGCAAAGCCAAGGGGAATGGTTAAAAGACATAGCAGTGCTGACTCCAGGTTTTTGAGGTTCAGTGGAACCCCTTCCTAACTGGCTGCTGTTGCACCTCATATTCTTCCTCATCTTTCTCACATCCACCATATTCTAGATAGAACAAGTAGGCTGCATGAGTGAAGACCAGCGGTCCCAGGAGACTGTCATCAGTGGGATGCAGGATCCTCAGCTTCCTGTACACAAGGCAGCAGATGTCAAATACAGATGGACAATTTGATCAGCACATGGAGGACAATCCCAGTGGCTGAGTTCCAGGATAATCATGTTTATATCAGATCTAAGAATAAATGCTGTCCATCAGTTGCAAATTGAATATATATCAACTCAGCATTACTAATATTGCCACTTAAAAAAACAAAGCAAAACCCAAACCTTTAACATCAGTTTAGTAGCCAAAGCATTTCTTGGCAGGGAGCTTGCTGGAGAAAGCATTGCCTGCCAACTTTCTGTGTGTTGGGCTGCAGTTAAAAGCACAGGAGCTGAGCCAGCAAAAAACAGCAAACTTAACCAGCACAACCATACTTAAAATTGCAGACATTTTCTGTTTTCCCTCTTCAGGTTATAAGCTTTCCTACTTCGAAAAGTTTACAATGGATGAACTACCGCGGGAGGTTTATTGTACACCAAAGCCAGAACATATGCCCCTACCAAAAAGATCCTTTTCCAACAAGGTTGCCAAGGAACACAAAGCCTTTGGAGTGTACAGGCAGGATGCTCCACTGGCCACTGTAGTTGCAAGGTAGGATGTGATACAGTATCTTGTGTGTGTGTTATTATATATGTGCTGTATGTTGCTTATTTAGTCAACTTGCTCCCTGTGCTTTTGCTTACATTTCTTGTCTAACCTTAATATGCTCAGGGGATCCCCCTGCCCCCATTCCTAAGCATATAAGTCTGATCACTCTTTTCTCCAGATTGGGAAAGGAGATCCTGAATTTACATAAGCAAAAAAGTTATGTACTACCAGATCAGCTGACCTCCTTTCTCTTGCATGAGAACTATGAATGAATTTATTCCAGGATTATTACATGGCCATTTTTTTTCTCCCAGAAACAAGGATTATAGAAATTATAAATCTGTTTAGAGTCTAATAATGTACCAATGGGTGTTTATGCCATTAGCTTCTAAACTATGTAAGCAACTTAATTCAATTCCAGACTGATAGATTTTTATGACTGCAATGGAAACTGAAGTAATTTTTGAAGTAAATAGTTGAAGATATTTAAACTAAATTGGCAAGCATTTGTTTGCTCGATGACAGATGGAAAGGAACATTGCCACCCCAAAGCAATGGGTAGATTACAAAGCTGCTGAAGCCAGGTATATAGAATCTATTTTAAGATTTTAAAGCCAGTTGATCAGCTATTTGGCAGGGAAAGGGTGGGGGGTGGTGAATCTAGGATTTTAGCATTTAAAAAAGCATTCTATATATGCTACCCCAGATACAGAGATGGGAATGGTGTGTTCTCCATCTAGCTAGGGTTATTCATGCATAGGTCTGCACAGGGCTGCAGCAAATTCTTTTTCAGATCAGGACCCTAACTGACAAAGAGATACATCAATACCAGATTTCAGAGTTTCTCTTCAGATACACTATGCTATCGATGATGTGTTGAGTCAAAAGAAAACCAGAGCATCTTCAAGTGTTCATCTTGCTCCTTTTTCATGTTATGCAACCATTAATTTCATCCCCAATATTGATCCACACTTCATCTATTCCCAAGCAGTTGGTTAGGAGGGGGGGTGGTCTATTTCTATTACTTACCTAGTTCTAGTTACAGCTTTTGCCGGTATGGGCCTATTTGGGAAAAATCTCACCTGATCTCCAGGTCGAAGAAAAACTTCAGCTGCATTTTTCCCTGTCTAGGCACAGAAGCAGTGTCAATAAAAGGCTGACAATATGCCACAGTAATTGTTCCTTATAGAAGCAGTGTGTTTTTTTCATCTTTGCACAATGTTCCAGAGAAACAGTGAATTTTACTAATGTATTTGCCTCTGCTTTACAATAAACCTAAAATCTAATGACATACCAAAGAAATACAGAAGGAACTCAGATATTCCAGTTCTTTGCTAATACTCGTTATTTCTTTGGTACCTTCTCGTGTCTTAAAGGAGTTCACTTCTATTCATCCATTCTACATTTAGCATTTAGCCAAGTCAGAGAGAGTATTAAAAACTTAACATTCAGACTCTAACGCTATTCATCTGGCAGCTAATTATAAAGTCTATTGTTAAAATTCTGAAAAGTATCTACCTGTAAAAAAAATTGAGACTCCAAAATGAAAAACTAAATGAACAGCCAGGAAATAATCAGGTCACACTTTCTTATGCAATGTTCTCTCTGTAACAGAACACCCTATCCAATTTATACTTGTCAAAACACTGGAAACAGTGGAACAAAATAGAATTCCAAATATACTCTAGGGTATGTTTCATGCTGCACAAAACAGCTCTTGTACAGAAGAAAAATCTACAGGAAGATGGAACTGAAGACTATGTTGAGGTCTTGGAACAGGAAAGAATCAAAGCACAAATCTTCTAAAGAAAGAACAATGTAAATCCAAAAGCTTCTCCATTTTAATAATGCTTTTCAGTGAATGGATTATGTATATGCAACCTTCATGATGTGTTCTCCCTATTACTTTCTTGGATATGCAACCCCGCACAATCTGGTTGTGCAAAAGACCAGCTCCCCACATCTCAGCACATCAATTTGACAATTTTATTGCTTGCCATATACTTCTTTGGCTGGTTTAAGGTACGGCTAAGTGTAAGTTCCAGTTCATTAGGCCACAAACGAGATTCCTGGTATTTGAAAATTCCCAAACTTGTTTTGTATGAACACAAAGAAGTGGTATCAAACACCACTTGAGTGAGTTGGCCTAGTATGTTCTGCATTTTATCCTGTATGGTTTGAAAATACAACTAATTTAGGAAACATTAACTGAATTAAATACTCCCAATAAACTATATCTTGGTGTATATAGAATTTATTGTTTAAATATCAAACTATTCAGGTTCCTCAGTCACAGAAATGTTTTCTCAAAAGTATTTCCCTGGTGTATGAATTTATCTTTAGTGGCTGTGAGAAGTCTGGTACATAGGCTTATGTGTATGCGGGGCTGGGGGGAACTGTTCATCCCTTTCCCAGTAAGTCCTTTGTCTTATTAAAGGCATGTCATCTGGTGGCACTGCTAGGCCTGGGATCACAGAGCCCTGGTCCCAAAGCTGTTTCCAGAAGACCTCCCAGACACAATCTACTCTCTGACTGCCTGCTGATGGCAAGAAAATATTTCTTTCTTAATATAATTGCCATACAAGGGGTAATTTTCAAAGAATGCAGCTGGGAAGGAAAGGGTTAACCCTCCGCTCCCCTCATTCTGGAATACTCTTCCCTATCCCCTCAAGGTAATTAAGCTTAGAAAAAATTTCAACTCGTGCTAATGAAAATGTTTCTTCTAAGTTTAGTTGCAAGATGTGTGTGTATAGGGGTCTTCCATGGGGGTAATAAAGAGAAATGGGGAAAGGAAGAAATGAGTGGGGGAAAGGAAACAAGCAAGAGATTGTAAATTAAGTGTAATTGAAAAGGAACTACTGAACTGGGAGTGATCTGGAGCAGGGTTCAATAAATTGCAGATGTTATTTGCAGGCATTTGGATGAAAAATGTACTACCCAGGTTTTGCCTTCTGTGAAAGCTAAACAAATCCTAGTTGTTATTGTTTCTCAATTTGCAGTGTCCAACAGAGAAAGATGTAAATGCCTACACTAACTTCTGCTCCAGACTATAATTGCTACAACTACTGGGGTAGCTGAAGTTGTATATTTTTCATACATATTTGTTTTCCCTAATGGGGAAAACAACAGCTGTAGATGGGATTTTCACTAAGAAAATAATACAGGATAAAGGATACACACGCACACGCTCTCTCCCAGGGCTTTTGTTTTAGTCTCTCCCTCCCTCCCTCCCTCCCTCCCTCCCTCCCTCCCTCTCTCTCTCTCTCTCTCTCTCTCTCTGTGTGTGTGTGTGTGTGTGTGTGTGTGTGAGAGAGAGAGAGAGAGAGAGAGAGAGAGAGAGAGAGAGAGAAGCTAAAAGATGTCACAAGTGTCCCTCACATTTTTAAAGAATTCTATTAACCCATGGAACTAATGAAATGTCATATAACAGAGCAAAACACATGGAAGTGTTATACAGTGATAAAGTATTTGTCCATACCACAAGCATTTGTAAGTATTTTAGTTCATGTTTTCTAACACATATAATGTTGTCTTCTTTTTCTCTACTTGTATAATAGATGGACACCAAAGAGTATGTCAACTCAATATGACCAACAGTTGGTTATTGAAGAGCTTGGAAAATTTGGTGACATTGAATCAATTACACCCTTTGGAAGACAAACAGTCATTGTCAAATTCAAAGAGATCCGCTCTGCATGCAAAGCAGTGAGTGCTTTTCCAGCTAATGGCCCAGACAAAGGCATGCGATGTTTTTGGCACCACAAATTCATGTCCAAATACAAAAGACCCAAATTCCAAAAAGACAAAACTTCTGCAACATTAGCAACGTAGTGTCTTTAGCAACCATATCATCAATATATTAAATGGATTACTTTTGTCAGAGTTAAGGCACAATTTGGATATTTATCCAAAGTATTAATTGAAGAACCATTCTTCTGGTACTAAAGGGATGGAAACTAGTTTGCATCAATTTATTTTGCTTGGTTAGGAAGAGATTAGAGCTTTGACTTCTTCTGAAAGAAGTTCATTATGGCATTCATGCATTCATCAGACAGCCATCTTTCTTTGAGACGCTCACACTCTTGAGAATTAACTTCATACAGTGTTTTCTTTTCCATGCCTCTTATTAGCTGCTTGGAGAGTGCCAAGGACTAAGGAAAGAAACAGAAAAATTAAAAATTCACATTTTGCATGGAAAATGGTTTCAAACTGCATTTCTCTAAGCCTGAAGCTACATATTACAAAGTGCAAACAAAGTTCTAAATCATGTTTGGCTAGTAATGTTAATGCACATTGAGAAACAAGGACTGAAGAATGAGAGCTACAAGAAGAATTGGCAAGGGAAAGGGGGCTGTCTAGCTCCCCCCTACTTGTGTGTTCCCCAGGCAATCTCTCTGCTCAACCATTTCCCTGCAACTGGACTCCAACACTGGAAGTAACCTCCTAGGATAGAGCTGTAGTGGAAAGACATTTCCTTCTCAATGCCTCCATATTAGTATTACCTGGCAACCAATCCATTTTTGGATCATGTTTGCTGCAGTTCTAGCCTATGCCTACATGCATGGCATAGTATAATGCAATGAACTCACTCTGTGCTACTCCATGCAAGAAACAGATTATAATAAGCATGGGTAAACACCCTTTGAGTTTGTTGAATTTTCTCAAATACTTCTTTGAAGCTTGTTTTCATCTTGTTTGCAGTCTGAATGAAAGTATCTTTCTTTCCAGGAAAATTGCACGTTGGGAAAAATGTGAATTTTAAAAAGTGCATATTCCCCCAAACAAAAATGTGCATTTTCCCCAAACACTAAAGGATGAAAATACAAATTTTGAGAACATTTTCACAAATGCATACAATAAAGTCAAAGTGCTGGCAATTTATGCTCCACACCCCACATATATTTTGATTTATATACTGTTTTTCTGTATAAATCTTATTTTTCTGTTTTTCTTTTTGTGACCCTGAGCAACAGAAAACTTGTACCAGGCACCCAGCCTTGAGGATGTCAAGCACAGTTCAATCTATGTTGTATCCTGTCTCTATGAAAGTATTATGGGGTAGGTTGGAAAATCACTAGAATTAAATGTGAAAAGTTTGCAAAGATCTGCAGCAAATGAACTATTAGAACACATTAGAAAGAATCTGAGCAAACCATAGGCTTGCAAGTGTAGGACACAAGTAACACTAACATTCCTGGGAAGGCTTGCATAAGCTTTCAGCCTTGTCCACACTTCTTTCTGGAAGATGTTGTCAGGGAAAACTTCTGTCACAAGCCCCTGCAAACAGGCTTCAGCAGCAGTTAGCTTCTTGTTGAAAAGCAGCAACTCATTGGCCTGCATGGAAGAAAAACAAGGAACTGTTTCTTGGGTAAAATACTAGCAAAAAACAGAGCAATGTATAACTTGTGCTTTCACTGTAGCCTGCTAACTTTGTTGTTCTCTGTTAAATATATCAGCCAGGGATTATCACTGAGTGGTCAGAGTATATACTTGGCATGCTGGGAGTCCCAGATTTGGTCCATGACATAACTAGCTAAAAGGATCGGGGAGTAGGCAATAAGGGAAAAAATCTCAGCCTGAGACCCCAAAGAAACAGGGTCAGACTAGTCTACTGACAAGTAGACTTTGACCTGGAATAAGGCAACTCCATATGACCGCTTTTAGTTTGTAGCATTCTCAGTTGCTGGAAGGGTTGTGAGGATGCATGCTTTACAGTGTTGAGTGAGCTGGGGGCCAAAATCTAGTACTGAGATGGGTACCAAAGTAATCATATACACCAACTAGTTGTGAGTACAGGACAGCATACCTATTAGCATGCTGTCTAGTAGGTGAACTGACATTTCAGACGAAGGTGCAATGGTAGCCAGGCCATGTTGTGTCAAATAAAGTAATATTTTCCTGTGACATAGTTTGACCCCCTTTTTACTATTTAATCAATCTATCTAAGCATAGACTAAGAAGGACATTCTCCCCAAACAACCATCAGACAAAATATAGGTATCTTACCTTGGCTAAGCCCATAATTTTTGGAAACGTATATGATGAACATCCTTCTGGGGTCTGACCCAGATTACTAAAGGGTGTGTGAAAAGTTGCCTGTGGAAGGAAAAAAAAGACTCTTCAGTTACAATGTTAACTTTCCACTTTCAAATTACATGATGCATGGTCTAGTTGTCCTTATACATTTTGGGTAATAATTGCAATTGCATTAGAGATATGCTTGACTTGTGGACATTACTGGGCTTCTAAAAATGCAGTTAGATAATATATGTGGTTCTTGCTACAGAAGTCAATGTTTCTGCCCTCTGTATATTACACAAAAGAGTAGTAAAGCCAGCCTCTGACCTCTCAGACACAATTGAACAATTGTCATCTAGAACAAACATGTTTTTGGGCATTACTTAACATTCTGGAGTTCAAAGTTCTCTAGATGAATGACAGAGTTAATAATAATGGAATCTGAATAATCCACAACATTGAGGTTCATAAATCTGACAACTTATATGAACAGAAAGTTTTCTATATTCTCATATGTGATGAGATAGAAAAGAATGAGAGGTAATTGATCAATTTAGCTACACTAATTCTAATTTGGATCAACTCAGGAAAAAAAATTGTACAAAAATATTTTCTGTCCAAAGTTCATGCAAAGCTCTTTCTATCTGAACCTTAGCTGCTGAGAGCAGACAAGTACAAAGAAAAAGACAGAAAATTCTCTAATTTCAGCTTGCAGTCAAAAGGGAGTAATTGGGGAAGTTCTTCCTCACATCTTCCTCACCCCACCCATCATGCCCTTCCTATACCTGCTGGGGGAAGGCCCTTCAAAGTGGACACTTCTCATAACCAAAGAGAATGAGGGAAGAGTGATATGCCATCTTGGCTATGGATGCTTAAATGAGCTTACAGGAGAGGAAAGCAAATTTCTTCCAGCAGTCTCTTCAATTTTGTTAATCGTCACAAATAGCACAAATGGGCAGGAAAGCTGATCTAACCATTTTTAAAGTGCATGTTACTGTAATTTTACTGTTCTTACTGAGAGCTGCCTTGAGTCTCTGTTGGGAAAGTACTGCAGTCTACAAATCAGATAAATAAAACTGTATCCTAATTCTATTTGTACGAGGGCTTAATACTGGAGACAGGATGCACTCATGCAGAAGACTTACTCTGTCAGTAGCATATACAATGTCAAATAGCCCAAGGACAGTTACAGAGATCCCAACAGCTGGCCCGTTCACCACAGCAAATAATGGCTTAGGAAAATCAATAAAATGTTTGACAAACTCTCTGGAAATAGAAAAGAACAACATCTTATTGTATACAGCAGGACAGCCTCTGTTACAGGCAGCATTGTTTCTATGTTAAAACAAACATGCCACCTTTAGCGGAATGATGTCGCACAATGCAAAGAAAGACATTGCAGCCATCCCTGCAGAAGCAGCCCCAAATGATTCCAGCCTGTCCAGTGCAAATACTAATACTTCCCGTTCCTTCATGAGAAAGGTTTCTTAAATGCCTGCTCTAGCATGAACTGGAAAAGCTATGAAAAACACCGTCTTCTTCCATTAAAAGAACTGCCTATTTCTCATGCTATTGCTCAATACATCTCTCGCCATGTTGTGTTTTATTTGTAGCCTAAAGGCTACTTTGTTTTCATTGACTGACTTCTATCATGCTGTGATGCCTCACAGTAAATCACGCTAATGATGCCTCTATTTCCCCTCTCCAAGGGGTCTGTAAAGTGGGTTTAAGTTCTGTGGGGATTTGCCCTGGTTTAAAGTCATCTCATAGTAGAGCAGGTACTTTGCCTTGAAAAATTAATGGTGGACAGGCAGTCTGTAAGAATAAATACAAATACATAATATCAGTCTCAAACTTGGAAGGATTTAGCAGTATATGAAAATGCAGCTACTGTTTTAAGATACTGGGTGGTACTAATATAACATTGGCATTAGCTTGCTCAAACAAATTGACTGGACTAAGACAACCCACTATTTTAATAGGGCTTTGTGTTTCCTTGTGTACCTTAATGGAACTATGCAAATAATTAAATCATTGACACTAAACAGATCTACAACTCTCCATGCATATTTCTGCCTATATATGCATAGGACTGCAGCCTTGCAGGGGCGGGGGGGGGGGGGGTTACATCAGCACTCTCCTTCTCCTTTTAGGACAGAATCAAGGAAACTGCTTTCACCCAGAGAGCCAAACTGACCATGGATTGGGATACTGGGGTCCACATGCCAGCAGTAAATGGGTGAATGGGCCACTGTCCCATATGGCTCAACCATCTGTTGACAAGCCTTACTCAATATTCTCTCTCTCTTGAACACTTTTTCTCTCCCCTGCCCCTTCTCTATGCACACAACACTACCCAGCACTGAAGCCAGGGAATGGACAGATCCGCATCGAGCAGCAGATCAATGATAAGCTTTTTGCCCTCTCTTAATGGGGACAGCAGAAGGGATGGGGGGCAGGCAAGAGGAGTAACAGGAAGGAGGGAAAGCCCCTGTGAGCTGAATTTGGCCCATGAGCCAAAGGATCCCCATTCTTTCAGGGTGTTTCCATAAATGAGTACAATCAGTGATAACAGGACAAACAGGAAGTGCCACAAAGAAGGTGCTTTTTGATGTAACTGCTTCTGTTTGGTTTCACCTTGCAGTCCGAAGTACCAGGGAAGATTTCAGTTTGGGTTCCTAACCCACCTTATGCAAATATCCTTCTATATTAGCTGTTTTGGAAAGCTTGTTGCTCTGGTGACTAGATTAACAGAAATCATAAAGGAAATTCCTTTTATCCTGCAAATAGGTTAACTGCACAGGACAAGCGCCCTGATTCAAAGGACAGATCACTCACAACATTATGGGAAATTCTCTTAATTCTCCAGTCAAAGTTCTCAGATAAGGGTTTACTAACTCATGAACTGTGGCTATAATGAAACATCTTTACAGGGGGGTTTCATTTCAGAACAAATCACATCATTGAAGTCATGACCTTATAGAAGCATAGTATGTTTCTAATTTTATACCTCAATGCCCCTCTGACATTACACTTTTGGATCTACATCATCACGTTCTTGGGGTACAAGAGGCCAGGTATAAAATGGCATAAGACAAAATTCTGTATCACGTTCTAATGCATATCTGCAATGTAAATCCAATAAAGCTCTTTAAGCATTCTTGCAAGATGGGTCAGTTTTGCACCTGTAAATTCACATTTTTGATAGTTTGGATATACTGAAGAGTGAACTCAAGAGTCAAGGAACTCTTCAAGCAGTCATGTTTAAATTGAAATTTTCACCTTACTCTTGAGAATGCCAATCAATTCTTTCTTGGCTTTGGGAAGCTCATTAAAGCACAATTTAAGAATACCATAATTAGCTGGAGTTTATGTGGTTCCCCCAGGATACCCTATCTAAGTCTTTCCACTTGCAATTTAGTTTGAAAAATTACAGGAGGATTGTTATTTGATCAATGAATAACTTGTTTAAGATATTATATGGAGATCATCATAGGTCAGGATTAATCATAGCTAAGTATGTTTACAAACAATTTCTCATAGATCTCTAAGGTCCTCCTCAACTGTGTTTCTATTAGTAATATGCAAAGGGAAAACCACAGACTAATTTCAAGAAACAAAATGAAAATGTAACTCAGCCTTCCACAATGTACTAGCTAATTTGGACCACATATCTATGCATTCCTGATTATTGGCCATACTGGCAGGAATGATGGGAGTTGGAGTTCAACAGACCAGGAAGACACCATTTTGGGGAGAGCTGATTTATCCTGTGTTTGTCTAGGCCACAGAATTTTATTCCTATTCAGTATCAGTTAGGTTTCTGTGATTAAAGCCATTAGATTTTGATCCTGAACACTGTTCTATAGTTGCTATCCTATGGACACAGATTTAGGAATAGTTCCACTGAATGTACATCTGAGGAAAATGATCAATACAGGCATCACAGTTTTTAATTTTTTAAATGGTATTTAAGGGCACAATCCTATGCATGCTCCTAATACACAGGGAGTGGCAGGACTTTTCTTTCCCAGCATACACAGGACTGCACTCTAGAATGCTTTGCTTCTCTCCTGCATATCACCTAGATTGTTTGTCTATTATACATTGCAACACAATGTAAAAAAGGTCCTACTTGAGCAGTACAGCACCATTCTTTGCTGCCTCTTCTAATCCACTTCCTGAGGGATTGGCAAAGTTGTTCAGATCATTGCCACTACAGTAGTAATCTCCATTACCTGTAGACAAGCACACACCAAGACTTCTGAACAATTGAAATATAAAAATAGGGAATAACCAAGTTGTGCTTACAAAAGGACATTTCAAATCAAAACATTCTGCTTATTATGTAAATGATTCAACAAAAGTTAGACATTACTATCTCATTGATTTCAAATGGAAGATACTGAGGCACATACTTTACTACTTCAGTGAAATCAATAGAACTTTAAAATTTCAATTTTGGTTGGATTGTGCTTTCAGTATTTAACCAAAGAAGAATCTTCTGGTTGTGATGCTTGGGATTACAATTGCTACTTGATTACAGACTGCAGTCACTTAAAAAATGGATGTGTTTCCTCTACACTTGACAACACATTTGCAGAACAGAAGGGTTATCTATATGTAGGCATAGCAGAACAATCCAATTCACTGCATTGTTAAGAAGATAACATAAATGTAATGTTCCTTGAATTAGAAGAATTGTATTTTACTCTCTTATATTTCTTTCTTTCTCTTAAAAAAACACAAAGTTAAGTACAGAGTATGTAATAAGGAAAGGGAAGAGAGATGACACACCAAAAATGATGTGCTTCTGCTACCTTAAGTTATGGGGACTACTGTCAGAGTGCTGGGCTGGAACTCGGGAGATCCAGGCTCTAGTCTTCACTTGGACATGAAGCTCACTAGCTGCTTTTGGTTAGTCACTAATTCTCAAACTAATCTATCTCACAGGGTTGTTGTGAGCATAAAACAGAGTAAGAGGAGCATGTAAGCCACCTTGGGTTCCTTGCAGGAGGAAGGGGCTGGATATAAATCTATTAAAATACAACAAATAATAATAATAAAGCTCCAAATTAACAGGGTAATATGGGGTAACATTCAGTGTCATTCCTACTTAAGATAGCCCCACTGAAAGGAATGGGACTTTGGTGCTGTCATTAAGTTCCATTCATTTCAATGGGTAGGACTAACTAAGTAGGACTAATTCTGGGTACTACCACATGATCTAAAAGAAGGATGCTGAGTGCAGGGAAGGGTGCTTAACCTTTACCCATGCCTGCTGCTTCCCCCATGCCTTCCAGGACAACTTCCATCTCTCAGGCAGGGTTGCTAGATGCACATTCCCCAAATAACTATTAAGGTGCCTTAGAGAGGAGCCCCTGTGCCCTTTCCTTGCCCTTCTGGGACAGATGCTGCCTTGTGATTTGCACTGCCTCCTTCTTATGCCTTGCAGGCATGATGTCTACAGAAAATACCCCATCTAGAGAATGACAATAAGCTGTTTATTAAAAGCTGCCAGAAACAGTATCTTCTGTCAAAAGAAATGTCAGGAGATCAGTTAGAAATCAATGGAAAGCTAACAGAACTTGCAATAAAACTGAAAAAAAAAAAATCTTCAGAAGAGTTTGCTGTAGTGTTTGTGGAAAGCTTTCACCTATTTTTAGTATTTTGCTTTGTCTCTGCTCAAAATTAAACAGAAGTTAAGTCTTAACTACTTAAAATAGTATCTGCATATCTAGATTTAAATCAAGCCCCCACCCCAGCCTATGTATAACTTGCTGCTCTTTATTTTCTCAATAAACTAGACAGACACCTATGGTACTTTAGAAAATACACCCCAAAGAACAAGTAAAATGTGTTGGAGAAGGCAGAGGTAGCACCTGTCAAAACTGTTATAGTAGAGTCATCCTTTGCTGCTCCCTCAAGTGCGGCAATAATCTCATTGTACATCTGCACAGAACAATAAAACAATAAAAATAAAAATCATTTGATCCTGCACAGGGTTAGAGATAGAATATTTGTGGATAGCTATACCTACAGAAGCAGACCAGCAGAAGTTTACTACAGAAGCAAACTTTAGAGATAATTCAGACCTGGAGAATATAAGGGTTTCTTTTCTTATTCAGACATACAGAAAATTTCTTACTAATAAAAATAGGAAGCTCCTCAACTCTTAGGAGTTCTTTGTGGTAATGTCCTGGTTGGGGTGGGGTGGGGGGGGTGGGGGGGGCTCTTGTGTGAAAGAAAAGCTGGGGGAAATGCCAGGGGTGGGAATCAATCCTCAACTCCTCAGTCTGTCTAAGGATTTAAGACATTCACTTTTCTCCCTGAAAAAAATTTCTTCCCCCCCCACTTTTTATGCAAATCATTCAGTAATAAGCTGCAAGATTTATCAGCTTTACCTTCACATTTATAGCATTTTTCATTTTAGGACGGTTTAGCATGATTGTTGTGATGTTGTCTTTAGTAGTAACCTGCAGTGTTTCATAGCTAGGCTGGCTGCCAGGAGGGGAGTCTTTAACCTCAGAAGCTTCTGCAGAGATCAAACTTGACACAAGCTCAATGTATTTCTGTCTGGCGCTCTCCTGCAATGAGAAGTCCATTCCAATTCATACAAAACAGGTAGCAAATTATGTAATTGATGCCAAGAGACCAATTTGCAAATGTGGTGTAATATTGCCATTGTGGAGGATTCCTTTATAAAGTAAACAAGAAACATCTCCATATTTTATGTAAGGCTTTTCAAGTGACAAAAATACACATCAGAGTGTGTGTGTGGGGGAGAGAAAATATATGCATATGTATAATTTTTCTGAAATTCTTTGTTGTTATATACTGAATACTATTTTTAATCACTTTCCTAATACTATTTTTAATCACTTTTAATCACAGAATTAGGATACAAAGGCTTTTAAAAAATTCTAAACATGGGTATATAGACTATCAATTTTTTTCAGGTAAAATACAGATTTGATTGCAGAACAAAAGGTAACAAGCATAGGACATTATCCAACCTAAATTCAACATTTTTAGTCTACTGATTTTAGTGGGAGAGTTAAGTATGTACTCTTAATCACAACAGTATTATAAAATCTGCATGGATTTGAAGATTCTAAATGGAATAATATGTTACAGCTAGAGAGTTTGTTTTCCTTTCTTAACTTTTTTCCAAATATGTGACTATGTTCCACATATTTTGTAAAATCTTACAGGTACCTTTGCACATTTTATCTTGGTTTATTTTTATATAGCCCAAGAGCCAGAGCTCTCTAAGCAGTTCACAAAAATTAAATACAGCATAATAAAACACAACATTAAGTAGTTAACATCCAAACATTTAAAACAACCTAGGACACAGTCCAAAGGCTGCTAGAAAGAATCAGAATAGCCACAGGAATAGTCAAAAGTCCTGGCCTCCCACCTTGGAAGCGCATCCTTGAGTTAGAACCAGGACTCCAAACTTGGAGCGTCCTCACTCTGCCCTCACAGACAGTGGAGAAAGAAGTACAACGGTTGCAAGAATAACCTTAGTAATGGAGGTGGGAAGGGGAGGAGACAGGCACCAACAGCAGGAAAGAAAAAGTGCAGAAGTGACTTTGCCTCCACATGCCTTCCCTCCTCTGTGGGGTGCTCATATTCCTCTATGTCTACAGGAGTTATAGGCAGTCTCATTGAACTGCTGTTAAGGGCACACTCCTATGCAGGTTCAGACAGAGAAAAAGTCCTCAAATTCCCAGCATGCCCCAGCCAGCACAGTTGGTGAAAGAATGCGCAGAGTTGCAAGACTGTTTTCTTTCTAAATATGCATAGGATTGTGCTCTATTTCATTTTACAGGGCCTGATAAAACAACCGAGGTTAAAAGCTCCATCATGTGCCATGAAATGCCTGGAAGTATAGGAAAATACTATTAATCTGGTGCTGCAGAGATGACAATGGTAGTAGATTTCTACTCCATAGGTATCTATGCATTCTTTCTTCAAATCTGTTGTTTCCAATTTTACTAGCCTCTCATTAGGATTTATGAGCCAGTCTTTGATCCAAGCCAAACTGGCTGCATAGTAATATAATTTAATATTAGGTACTGAGAGGCCTCCTCTCTCTTTTTCATTTTGTAAGACTACATCTGATCTTTGGATTTATCCCATTCCAAATAAAAATATTCAATTGTCTTTGCCATTCTTGAAGAATTTTTCCCTGTATAAAAATGTGTAGCATTTGGAATAAAAAAATATATTAATTTATTAATTTAATTTAACTTCAATTAGGTAAGACATTCATTTTATGTTAGAGATTCTTCCCAACCGTGACACTTAGACCTTCACTGTAAGTCGCTCTGAATCTTCATCTACATTATCTTATAATTATCTTGAAATAGTGTATCATTATGTTGGTCACATTTATACCCAGATATTTAAGTGTTTCAGAAGTTATTTCACATCCTGAAACTTTTTTTTAATGGTTTCCTCTTCCTGTTTTGTTACAAATTTTGATGTAATTTTTATTTTCTCTTACTGATTTTATAACCAGAATAAGATCCAAATTTTTCAATTTGACCCATTATATGTTGCACTGATAAATGTGGGTTTTAAAATAATCAAAATTACATCATCTTCATAACATTTCATTTTCTATTCTTCGTCTACTTTCACGCCCTTAATTTTTGGATCTTGTCTTATTTTTGTAGCTAAAACTCCACTAAACTCCACTAAATAAATAAAGTGGCAACAGTGAACATCCGTGAAGCGTTTCTCTTCCTATTTGGAAACTATCAGTTAATCTTCCATTTATCAAAAATTTTGTATGTTAATATAGGTAGCCGGTATCCGATTCCTAAAAGATGGTCCACACTAGATGTTGAGTTCTCAACAGAAAGGACCAAGATATATTATCAAAGGTCTTTTCCACATCTAAAAACATAAATACAGAGAATTAAAAAAATTCCCATGGCTGCCAAGACCACGTTGCTGAACATTGTACCAGAAACTCTGCCAAGCAATATGGTAGAGTTATTCAGAGTTATAATTGTGGCCAGAGTCATAACTGCTTCAAAATGGAGAGCAGAAGATCAACCAACTATTGAGAACTGGAAAAATAAATTAATAGACTATGCAGTGATGGCAAAACTGACTAATGATGTAAATGGAAAACCAGTCAAAGAATGTAAGGATAAGTAGAAACTCTACTATTCACAACTTACTTTATAGAAAAAAATTACATATGAACACAGTGGAATTTTTTAAAATACTGTCAGAGATTAACTTTTAAACGAATACTGTACTATGACAGTAAGTAAGCCGCCCCGAGGCTTCGGCGAATGGGGCGGCATAAAAATGTTTTAACAAATAAATAAGTAAGTAAGTAAGTGATGCCAATAAAGGTTCCTACTACTATGATAATAAGAGGAGTTATATAAATGGAAAATATTGTTAGAGATTAACTCTTGTATTGATGCTTTGTTGTTATAGTAAGTTGACTTAAGATGAATACTTAAGTATATGATAACTGTGGTTAGTGGTTAAACTGGCTTAAAATGGAAAGCAGAAGAAATTTAATTATTGAAGACTGCAAAAACATCAGTTGACTATATAGTAATGGTAAGGCTAACTAATGATGTAGGAAGATAACCAAGCAAAGAAAATGATAAGTCAAAATTGTATTCCACACAATTTCTTTTTAATGGGGATGATAACAATAGAAAATATAGGTAAAAAGGGAACATAATTTTTCAGAAAATTGTTTGAGATTAGAATCTGCAAAAAATATGGTTGAGTAGAAAAACACACATTAATTTTTTGTGTTCAACATACGTATACCCTTCATTATATACAAACCTTTAAACAAATGAATCCAAACCCAAGTAATTGTGCATACTCACCTGTGGCAAAGTACCAAGTGATTTCCATGCATCCCACTTGGTCTTGTTGACAAAGTCAAGCACACCAGGTTTTGGACTATTACAGGGGCCCTGGGTAGCCTGAAGAATACGAAAAATATAATTTCCATTTGGTTTTTACTGCTTAGCCAATATAAATGTATTAATCAGTCATAAGGATTCATTTTACACCTGATGGGTGAGCAGTTTACCCAGAATTCTTACTAAAAATGGTCCACATTCAGACATCTATATTAAACTTTCTATGGTAAAATATATGAAATTATCAAAACCATGCAGCAAATGACTGCAGTCACAATTCTACTCGTTGCACACATGCAGAGCATAAACAGCTGTCCCATAGTATAGCCTTCTCCTCCTTGAAGGTGCCCTTCTTGTGTGCAGCATCTTAGCCAGGCTGTTTCTTCAAGAGGAGTAAATGCAGATTTGCTTCATGCTCTGAATGTGCACTGAGACAGTAAAAGCAGCTATGCCAGACAGGCCAACGGTCTATCAAGTGAAACATTCTGCTTGCAGAATCAGGTTCCTTTGGGAAGTCACGTGCAGAATATGAGTGAAAAAGCACTCACCTGCTTATATTCCCCAGCAACAGATAAACAGAGCCATCCTGCTTCTGACACTGGAGAATATCCAGCCATTCTGAGTAGCAGCCATTGATAGCCTTATCCTTCATAAATGCATCCAATCTCCTTTTACAGCTATCCAAGTAAGCGGCCACCACTACAGTTTGCATTAGAAAATCCTGTAGTTTAATGATGTGCTTCCTTTGTCTTCTATCTCCCACCACTATTGAGTTTCTCTCAGTGAGGAAGAAAAATCTTTTCCCTACCCACTTTTTCCACACCATGCATCAGTTTTGACACCTTTAATATGCCCTCCGTTTACTTAACTTTTTTTTCTAATCAAAGACCCTTAGCTACAAGCTCTAATCAATAGATAGATACTAGGCATGATCCCATTCTTTCCCTGTCTCCCCACACCAAAGCACATGCTTATTTTTACCTTTTCTAACCATCTGCTTAGGACCATCCTGGCTTGCTTGATTTGAAAACTTGAAATATGTGGTTCTTGCAGCCTTTTAGAAGGCTATAAAGGAGGTGCAAGTTAAGAATGCTATTGGACCATTATTCCAGAATGCAATAGGAGCTTTCTCCTAGCTGTCGATTTGTTCAGACAATGACATGAGGCCACGGAGTAGGTCTAGAGGAGATGGGGTCAATCAGAGTGGGGGTTCAAAATAGGAATTCATGGATAGCACAGCCTTAATTTGCATAGAGCTCTTCCTGAGTGAGGAAACAGCATACAGTGACCTGGTTTGCCTGTCAGAACGAAATGAGAGCAAGTCGGTATGCTGATTCCCATCACTCAAATGCTTCCACTGCTAATGGGAGAAGTAGAACAACACCAGGATACTGTGGACATCCTATAGTTCCAACTCCAGGAGGCCTCACCCCCCAACAACTGCAAACTCCTGATCCACGCAAAATTATTAACAACCCTGGGAGGAGACATTCCTTGCTTGTTTTCCTGCTTTGTTCCCAGCAACCCAGTTTTTCCTTTTCCTTTTTTAAAATTCTGGGTTGTTGAGTGAATTGGACCAGTGAATGAGTTCTCTTGTTACATACTATAGAGAGCCATGGGAGAGCTACCAGAAAGGCTTACGTAAGCCTCTTAAACCAGCTGTTTGGGGGGAAAAAAAACAAAGTCATGCTTTGTGTAACAGGCAATATAATTAAGGAAGCCTGTAGATCACATTCTACAACTGCATACTGTTCAGTAAAACTATTTTGACCATTATTTGCCAAAAGGCAATTATATTAAAAATGCAAAAAGTCAGAACTACCTGTTTAAACAATGCATAAAGCTTCAGCTTTACTTCATTACCAGGGTCCTCCTTCAAAAGCTTCAGTTGATCTTTGGCTTTTTCAAAGTCTTCCTGGCTGAACTGCATGGTAGGTTTAGTTGTGTGTATCTGAAATGCAGGAAAATGAAGACCATACACAGCACTGCTGTAAAGGAAAAGAAATGAAACCAAGTCAGTTATCCTATTAAAATGTTCAGTAGATAAAGCAAATGCTTAGATTACTCATTCTGTGTGCAAAAGGTCACAAATAAACATCTGTTAATCAGTACAAATAAGCTGCATGAAAAATCCCAGCAAAAGTTCAGTGTAGTGCTGTTCAGGGAATATTTAATAACAAACAAGATTATTTATGCCAACCATCTCACAAAACATTAAATTAAAGATTACCTTTATTTAATTGTACTGCCAAATTTATATATAACTTTTCTTTGGAGTAAAACCAAACACAGTAAAATTACACATAAACAAACACTAATCAGCAATAAAACTACAGATAGAGCTGGACACTATGGTTCAGAACTGTCTGGGTCACACCTTGGGAAAAGTCTGTGAGGAGAGACGGGTTTTGAGAAAACATCTAAGTGTCCTGCTCCTGCATCCCCCACCCCTGCGTGGGTGGCAGCTGCACCGATTGGGGGTGGGGCGTGGGGGAGGGGCCACGGCATTAACTTGCTGGCCAGGGCCAGCGGCCTCGGGCCAGTGGCCGAAGGGCGACGGCCTAAGGGCAGTGAAGCCGTTTGGAACCATTTGGGGTCATGAGGGGCTGGGCTGGCCATGGACTCTGTGTGGATGGGTAGGTGTTTGTAGTTGGGTGGTGGGAGGTTTTTATTGTATTTTAACTTGGCTGTTTTAATGGATTCATGTTCAGCTGCTACCATGGAGTCATCTGGGGAGTGCGTGGGTGCCACCACTGGGGTGGTCATGGGCAATGGTTGTTTTGGCATTGGGGGTTTAACGTGTCGGTATAGAAGAAGGAGGGGCAGATGGTTGACACCTGTTCCTCCTTCTGGTTATTCCCCCAGCCAGAAGGTTCTGGGTAGGCTTATCAACCACCCCTCGGGCCTGACGGTGCTGTTGCTTAATGCCAGGTCGGTCCATAATAAAACATCCCTCATCCACAATTTAATCATGGATGAGGGGGCCAACCTCGCGTGCATCACAGAGACCTGGGCAGGAGGAGGGGGGGATGTGTCCCTCTCTCAACTGTGTCTGCCCGGGTATCTGGTTCAGCACCAGGCATGTCCGGAGGGGAGGTTGAGGGGGGTCACTTTGATCTATCGAGCCTCAATTTCTCTTACGGGGCTTCCTTTTCTCTCGAGACTGGGTCTAGAGTGCCTCTATCTAGCGTTGGGCGACAGAGACAGACTGGGGATTCTGCTGGTGTACCGCGCACCCTTCTGCCCATCAGACTCCCTGCCTGAGCTGACGGATATCATCTCGGACCTGGTGTTGAAGACCCCCAGGATGTTGGTCCTGGGGGACTTCAATTTCCATGCCGAGACTGTTCTGTCCAGGGTGGCTCAGAACTTCATGGTCTCCATGATGGCCATGGGGCTGTCTCAACATGTCATCGGCCCAACCCAAGAACGTGGACACACTCTGGACCTGGTTTTCTCGACGGGGCAGGCAGAGGGTGATCTGAGGGTGAGCAACTTATGTTTGACTCCCCTGTCATGGTCAGACCACTTCCTCGTGAGGTTTGAGCTCGATGTCGACCTTTCCCTCTGTAAGGGTGCGGACCCTATTGTATTGGTCCACCCTCGGAGCAGGATGGATCCAGATGGATTCCTGAATGCTCTGGGGGAGTTTCCGGTTGATAAGGCTGGCGCTCCTGTTGATGCCCTGGTTGAACTGTGGATTGGGGAAATGGCCATAGCTATTGACACGATCGCTCCTAAGTGTCCTCTCCCGTCTGGCAGAGCCCGTTCATCCCCTTGGTATACACCTGAATTACGGACGATGAAGCGGGTTGGGAGACGTCTAGAGCATAGGTGGAGGAAATCATGGGATGGATCTGACCGAACACACTTAAGAGCTTATTATCGGGCCTATGCTGTGGCAGTGAGGGTGGCAAAGAAGAAATTCTTTTCCACTTCCATTGCCTCCTTGCAGTGCTGTCCAGCAGAGCTCTTTTGGGTGGTACAGGGGCTGGTACATCCTGGCCCCAGGAAAGATCCTGTGCCACCCTCGGTGGCCCGCAGTGACAACTTTGCCCAGCACTTTAATGAGAAAATCACTCAGATTTGTCACGAGCTGGACTCCACTAGTGATTCAGATCCTCTAGGGGAGGTGCCAATGTCGCCGTCTGGTCATATATTGTTGGATGAGATTCAGTTGTTGCGACCTGATGATGTGGACAAGGTGCTTGGACAAGTACGTCCTACCACCTGTTTACTTGACCCTTGCCCATCTTGGCTACTGACCAAAGCCAAACACGGGACTGGTGCCTGGATCCTGAAGGTCATGAACGCCTCTCTGAGCGAGGGCCAGGTGCCTGCTCCTCTAAAGGAGGCGATGGTCAGGCCGGTCCTAAAGAAGGCATCCTTGGATCCAGAGATGGCCGCCAATTATAGACTGGTGGCCAATATCCCGTTCTCGGACAAGGTGTTGGAACAGGTGGTGGCAGGACAACTTCAAATTCTCTTGGATGAGACTGATTATCTGGACCCATTTCAGTCCGGCTTCAGACCCGGGTATGGTACTGAATCTGCCTTGGTCGCCCTGTATGGTGACTTGTGTAGGGAGAGAGACAGGGGGAGTGCATCCCTGTTGGTCCTCCTGGACCTTTCAGAGGCTTTTGATACCACCGACCATGGTATCCTTCTGGATAGGCTAATGGGACTGGGAGTAGGAGGCACTGCTTGGCAGTGGTTCCGCTCCTACCTTGACGGCTGATTCCAGAAGGTGGTGCTGAGGGACTTTGGCTCTGTGCCATGGCAGCTATGCCATGGAGTACCGCAGGGGTCCATTTTGTCCCCCTTGCTATGTAACATCTGCATGAAACCGCTGGGAGAGGTCATCAGGAGGTGTGGGCTGCGAAATCATCAGTACACTGATGATACCCAGCTCTACCTCTCTTTTTCAACCAATCCAGGCGAGGCAGTGGCTGTACTGAACCGGTGCCTGGCCAAGGTAATGGGCTGGATGAGGGCCAATAAACTGAAGCTCAATCCAGACAAGACGGAGGTCCTGTTGGTGGGTGGTTCGAGGTCCTGGGTGGGTGACTTGAACCTTGCTCTGAATTGGGTTGCATTCCCTCTGAAAGACAGGGTCCGCAGCTTGGGAGTGCTGCTCGACCCGGAGCTGTCCTTGGAAGCTCAAGTAACTGGTGGTGAGGAGCACTTTCCTTCATCTTCGGCTAATCCATCAGCTGCATCCCTACCTGGAGGACGATTGCCTAGTGACAGTGACACACGCATTGGTTACTTCCCGGTTGGATTTCTGTAATGCGCTCTACGTGGGGATGCCCTTGAAGACAGTCTGGATACTTCAGATGGTGCAAAATAGAGCAGCCAGGTTGCTGACAGGGATTGGGCATTGTTCTCATATAACCCCAGTCCTCTACCAGCTTCACTGGCTTCCCATCAAAGTCCGGGCTCAATTCAAGGTGCTGGTTATCAGCTACAAAGCCCTTAACGGCTTGGGACCTGGATACTTGAAGGAATGCCTGCTTCCATATTTGCCCTCCCGCCCCTTGAGATCGGCAGCAGAGGCCCTCCTCCAGGAGCCCTCTGTGAAAGACATCAGGAGGCAAAATACCCAGGAGGAGGGCTTTCTCTGCGGTGGCACCCCATCTCTGGAATGCGCTCCCCAGAGAGGTCCGCCTGGTGCCGTCGTTATTTGTTTTTCGGTGCCAGGCTAATACCTTTTTATTTAAACAATATTTTAATAATGTTTAATATTAACTATAGGTTTTAATTTGCAGCCAGAATGAATCGGGTTTTTAATTTGTATAATCCGTATTTTTTGTATTATATTTGTTTATTTATGTAAGCCGTCCCAAGGCGTTAAGCGATGGGACAGCATATAAAAACTCTAAATAAATACATACATACATGCATGCATGCATACCTGTTGGAATTTTGCTGCAATGCAACTAGAAGGGAGCAAAGTGTATATGTGAGTTTTGCAACTGAGTGTGAAGCAAACCCAAAAGACAGCCTGCTTTTGCATCAGTAGCTGGAAAGCAAAAGGCGAGGCTGTTTCTGTTCCCACCTCTACACCAGCCCACACCTGCACTCACAAAGCATACTGTATTTTAATCAACCTTCTCCAACCTAGTGTCCTCCAGTTGTTTGGGACTAATACTCTCTCCCATTCATTGTAATTACTGGCCATGCTGTAATTACAACAGGGTACATGGAGTAATAGAACTTAGTTGTTCATTGTTTGGAATTTGGTTCCTGCTAGCAGCATGTCATTACATTAATGAATGGCATCACTGGATACAATAGCTATTAGCTATTTACCACAGTGAAGGGGAGGGGGTGTGCCTCAGTTCCCTGAGGTATAGGCAGGGTCAAACAATCACCAAACAACTACCAACATTCCGTGTGCCCATTTCAACCTGAACCAAGGGACTCCCATAAATTACAGGTCACTCTTGAAAGTTAAGAAGTGTTGGGGAAGCTCCAGACCATACTAGTCCCAAACGCTAAGCCTAGTAACAAGTAATCAAACAGAAGGTTCTGGAATTAGCACTGAGAATTATGTGAAAGAAAGCACACACAGCCCTAGAGGGGAACAAGTTTATCTACATAGGGGAAATGGATAAAAATGGATAAAAGGCTATACAAGAACCAGGGGAATCTTTGGCACTCCAAACAAAATAACAAAGCAATACCTGGCTAAATCTATTGTATATATTATCTAAATAAGGTTCCCCCAATAGGACAAGACCCAATCCTGAATCCAAAAGTTTAGAAGCCCAGAAGCAAGTTAATACATGAAAGTGGAAAAATGGGCAGTCCTTTAGCTTCCTCTTAAGCTCAAAACCCTGGCAACTCAAAGAAAATCTTAATTAGTCAATCACAGATTGGCTAAAGCAGTCCCAATCCTATAAGGGAGGGTGGAAGTTTCCCATAGGAATGTAGCAGACTTCAACCTAGCTGAGTCTGACTCTAGCTCTGGGGATGAGAATCTGTC